CGTAAAACAGTAACTTATAAACTCTTTCAAGGAACTGCACACTCCCCTCTTTTTTTGGAGATAATGGGTGACTACACGTTCTTGTTTGGTGATCTTGTCTATGATATCTCCCAATATTTGAAAGAATATTTCAGGAAACTGGGTACTGATAATTCAGAATTTTTGGCGTTTGAGAAAATGATAGAACAGAAAGAGATAGAGGAAAACAAAGACGAGTCTGAAATAAGACTTAGACAAATCGAAGAAGCCTGGGAGAGCATTCTCTATGGTCTAATAATCAGAAGTTTTGTATTACTATTCCAATCAATATTTAGAAAATATATTCTATTACCTTCATTGATAATCACAAAAAATATCATTCGTACACTATTATTTCAAAATCCTGAATGGTCAGAAGATTTAAGGGATTGGAGAAAAGAAGTCCATATTTACTGCACCTATCAGGGTGTTCCAGTATCTCACACCGCATTGCCAACAAACTGGTTCTGAGAGGGTATTCAGATAAGGATCTTATTCCCTTTTGTTATGAAACCGTGGCACAATAAGGTACGATCTACTGGAAAAAAAATCTACTGAAAAAAAAAAGATCCACTGAAAGAAAAAAACGTCTGGTTTTTAACAGGTTATGGAACACAAGTCGAATCGTACCTTGATGATCATGTCCCAAACCCTTTTTTATTTTTGGGTCCCATTTTAAAAAAAATAAAAAAACAATTGAAAAAAGATTTGAAAAATCGTTTTTTTTCTAGTTCTAAAAGTTTTTAATGAAAGAAAAAAGGGGTCTCGAATCGTGTTAGAAGAAATCGAAAATAGGTTAAAAAAAAGAGATGAATTGAGTGAAAGCAAAAAAAATTCAACAATCAGTAAGAGTAATCCAATGATTGAGGAATCGTCCGTTCTAATTCAATCTATGAATTGGACAAATTTCACAGAAAAAAGGATAAAAGATCTTAATGTTAAAACAAAGACAATCTTAAAACAACTAGAAAAAATGACAGAAGAAAAAAAAGAGGGGGTTATAACTTTAGAGATTAATTTGAATTCTACCAAAACTACTTATGATGCTAAAAGATTAGAATTACTAAAAAATAGTTTGAAAATATTAAAAAGAAGAACCGTTCGATTAATCCGTAAATCCTATTTTTTTTCTTTCAAATTTTAATGGAAAGGATATACATAGAGATCGTTTTCTCTATCGCTCGTATTATTATGATGTCTGGACAACGTTTTCTTAATATTATTGAATTAACAGACAAAATTGTAAATGTCTTTATTTCCATTTACAATAAAAAAAAAAAGAACAAAGAGTTCATAAAACAAATGAAAGTATAATTCCATTTATGTCGATTATAGACAAATCTTGGAATATTACAGATATGAATTCACAGACTTCTTGTGATGTATCTTCTTTGTCACAAGCCTATGTATTTTTTAAATTATCACAAGTTAGTAATGGATATAAATATAAGTTAAGATCTATTTTTGAATCTCATGGAAGATCTTTGTTTCTTAAGAATGAAATAAAAGATTATTTTTTTAGAATACAAGGAGGAACATTAAATTCCAAATTAAGACATAAGAACCGTCCCGATTCTATAATGAATCAATGGATAAATTGGTTAAAGGTTCATTATCAATATGCTTTACCTCAGAGCGGATGGTCAAAATTAGTACCACAAAAGTGGAGGAAGAGAATCCATGAACATCGCGTGGCTCAAAAGAAAGATTTAGTTGAATATGATTCATCTGGAAAAAACCAATTCATTTTTTACAAAAAACAAAAAAAACAACAAGTAGATTTATTAGAAAAAAAATAAAATAAAAAAACAATATGGATATGATCTTTTCTCCTATCAATATATAAATTATGCAGATAACAAAAAATCCTATATTTATGGATATAAATCACCATTGTAAGCAAACAAAAACCAAACGATTAATTACAACATACCTAAAAATAAATAAGAATTATTTGATATAATGGGCGATAGCTTTATCCAAAATTATATAGCAGAAGATGGTATTATAGATATGGATATGGAAACAATGGAAAAAAATCTGAATAGAAAGTGTCTAAATTGGATGGGAAAAAGAAAAAAGAATTTCAAAACGAATAAGAAATTATTGACTCCGAGATTTGGGTTCTTTTCAAAATTAAGTGCATATAAGAAGAATCCTTGGATCTTACCAATAAATTTCTTTTTTGTGCAGTTTTATGGAAACAAAAACATTACTGATGTAGCCAAGTTAAAGTTAGAAAAGAAATAATACGGGAAGCAAGCAGATCTCAAATCATATCTCTCAAACTATTATAGGGACACTCGGTATAGTATAACTAGAAGGATCTAAACGGCGAACGAAATTTCTTACTAGATAAATATTTTGATTTTTATTTGCACTGTAAGACTCTCGTCCAAGAAACACTAATGGATAATATCAACTTATATTGTCTCCTGGTTAGATTGAAAAATGTAAAACAATTTTTCATAATGTCTATAAAAAAGGCAGACCTCGATTTTGAAATTACGGCGCGTCTGCAGATGAAGGACACTTGTTATACAGAATGTAGGGACACAGAGGAATTGAGGGACAACCTAATGTTTTTTATTGAACCTATTCGTATTTCTATAAAAAACTATGAACAATTTTATATATATCAAACCATAATCATATCATTGAGGCACAAACGTAAAATTTTGAAAAGAAACTATGATTTACTTGTTCCTGAAAATCTTTTGTCCACTAGACGCCGTAGAGAATTGAGAATTCTAATTTGTTTGAACCCACCGAATAGAAATACTGTGCATAGAAACACAATAAATGACACTGAGAAAAAACGAAATAATTCTTCTGAAGTTTTGACTCAAAATGAAGATATTGATAGCGATACAAAAAACTAATGACTTTAAAATTCTTTCTTTGGCCAAATTATCGATTCGAAGATTTAGCTTGTATGAACCGCTATTGGTTTGATACACATAATGGAAGCCGTTTCAGTATATTAAGAATACATATGTATCCTCGATTGAAAATCTAGATTTTTGTTCTATTTATCATTATCATAATATTTCAGATATCTATCTGATATCTGATATGTGAACATATATATATATATATATATATATATATATATATATATATATATATATATATATATATATATATATATATATATATATATATATATATATATATATATATATATATATATATATATATATATATATATATATATATATATATATATATATATATATATATATATATATATATATATATATAATTGCAATAAATAAAATAAACGCGCACACGCATTGTGGGATTGATACGACTTCAATGATGTCTCCATTAGATATAAATAAATCAATAGAAAAATGAATAAATCAAAATTGTCTTTTTATTTTTATTTTTTAAATACAAGACAATAGAATTTTTTATTTTTTGAATACATAAATATAGTATTTATTCTCTATTTGAATTACATTCCTTAATAAGGAGTTTGAATTTTTTTTTTCAGAATTGTAAAAATTGTTAAACAAATTAAGGTAAAATTTGATATAAAAAATTCAAAATGAGTGTCAATACTATTACTGATCAATAAAAATATCTACCAAAAAGGAGGGGGAAAGAAAAGCTTTCATTTTATGATAAAAAATTCATTTATACCTGTTATTTCACAACAAAAAAAAGAAGAAGAAAACCCAGGATCGATTGAATTTCAAGTATTCAACTTCACTAATAAAATACAAATACTTACTTCACATTTTAAATTACACCCAAAAGACGATTTATCTCAAGGAGGTTTATGTATAATTCTGGGAAAACGGAAACGACTATTGTCGTATTTGTCAAAGAAAAACAAAATACGTTATCAAAATTTAATAAATCGGTTGGGTATTCAGGATTCACAAATTAGGTAATTTAAAGAATCATTTTCAATTATTCGATTTATTAGATACTGAATTTTGATGAACTTTTTTTTTTGAACGATTCATGGAAGAATGAATCGAGGAAAAACCTAAGAATATCCCATCTACAAGAAAAGACCTCATGATAATAAATATGGGGCCTCAACACCCATCGATGCATGGTGTTCTTCGACTTATTGTTACTCTGGATGGTGAAGATGTTATTGATTGTGAACCAATATTGGGTTATTTACACAGAGGTATGGAAAAAATAGCGGAAAACCGAACAATTATACAATATCTGCCTTATGTAACACGTTGGGATTATTTAGCGACTATGTTCACAGAAGCAATAACTGTAAACGGGCCAGAACAATTGGGAAATATTCAAGTACCTAAAAGAGCCAGCTATATACGAGTAATTATGTTGGAGTTAAGTCGTATAGCTTCTCATCTACTATGGTTGGGACCTTTTATGGCAGATATTGGTGCACAAACCCCTTTTTTCTATATTTTTAGAGAAAGAGAATTAATATATGATCTATTCGAAGCTGCGACAGGTATGAGAATGATGCATATTTTTTTTCGTATTGGGGGGTAGCCGCTGATCTACCTTATGGTTGGATAGATAAATGTTTTGATTTCTGCAATTATTTTTTAACAAGGGTTATTGAATATCAAAAACTTATTACGCGAAATCCAATTTTTTTAGAACGGGTTGAAGGAGTAGGTTTTGTTGGTAGAGAGGAAGTTATAAATTGGGGGTTATCAGGACCGATGCTCCGGGCTTCCGGAATACAATGGGATCTACGTGAAGTTGATAATTATGAGTGTTACGAGGAATTGGATTGGGAAGTTCAATGGCAAAAAGAAGGAGATTCATTAGCTCGTTATTTAGTTCGAATTGGTGAAATGGTGGAATCCATAAAAATAATTCAACAGGCTTTGGAAGGAATTCCAGGGGGGCCTTATGAAAATTTTGAAATCCGCTGCTTTGATAGAGAAAAGGAGCCAGAATGGAATGATTTTGAATATTGATTCATTGGTAAAAAATCGTCTCCTACTTTTGAATTACCGAAACAAGAACTTTATATGAGAGTTGAGGCCCCCAAGGGAGAATTAGGAATTTTTATAATAGGAGATCAGAATGGTTTTCCTTGGAGATGGAAAATTCGTCCACCTGGTTTTATCAATTTGCAAATTCTTCCTCAATTAGTTAAAAGAATGAAATTGGCTGATATTATGACAATACTAGGTAGCATATATATCATTATGGGAGAAGTTGATCGTTGAAATGAGAATTGATACAACGGAAGTCCAAGATATAAACTCCTTTTCCAGATTGTAATCTTTCAAAGAGGTCTATGGAATTCTATGGATACTTGTACCAATTTTGATTCTTATCTTGGGAATCACAATAAGTGTACTAGCAATTGTATGGTTAGAAAGAGAAATATCAGCAGGGGTACAACAACGTATTGGACCTGAATACGCTGGTCCTTTTGGAATTCTTTAAGCTCTAGCAGACGGAACAAAACTACTATTCAAAGAGAATCTTATTCCATCTAGGGGAGATATTCGTTTATTCAGTATTGGACCATCCATATCAATAATATCAATTCTAATAAGTTATTCAGTAATTCCCTTTGGCTATAACTTTGTTTTATCTGATTTCAAGATAGGTGTTTTTTTATGGATTGCTATTTCGAGTATTGCTCCCATTGGACTTCTTATGTCAGGATATGGCTCAAATAATAAATATTCCTTTTTGGGTGGTCTACGAGCTGCTGCTCAATCGATTAGTTATGAAATACCATTAACTCTATGTGTCTTATCAATATCTCTACGTGCGATTTGTTGAAACCAAAAAATTTATTCGACGCTATTGCTATGCTCCTCTCTTTATAGTACTATATAGGAAAGGAGGCGAATCAATTGAATAGAAACCTTCATTATCTTTATTTTTCTCTGATTGGAGAACTAAATTAGATAGTTATATGAGTGAAATAAAACAGCTTATATTGAATATAATTTCAGAATACTTTATTACTTCTAGTTAATAGATAGTATGATGATTTTTAATGGCAGTAAAAATATTGAGTCTCATTTTCTATGTATAAGAATGAAATAAAATTATAAACAAAAGAGGCCGTTTAACCCAAGATTGGATAATTTGTCATCCTGTTTTGAAGCGGGCTCTAAAGACCATCCTTATTGAGTTTTAGTTACCATTTATTAAGGTGTATGCCCTCAACGCCGAGGAACATGTATTAAGGTGTATGTGCGACTCGTTTAGATCATATACTGAAATTAAAAAATATATTCAATTAATAAGAATTGTATATATATAATTCTATTGTGTATAAGATTTATGCTTTCTCAATTGGTGCAAACCAAATTACCTTAATTTTTAATTTAAGATGAAATATACTTTTCCCATTGGTAACAAAAAGTGATCCATTAAGCGGGAAAAATCCTCTTTGAAATAAAGACAAATTATGCCCTAATTTTAGCAATAACGGACTAAGAGGGTCAACTACCCAGCTAATCTTCATACTTAAATATCGTTACTGTATAGCTAGATTTTATTGTGAAAGACCTATTACTATATATTCAATGGGTAGAGCTAAGAAGTGTGAACTGTACAAGTTCACAATAACATTGATTGAATCAAGATTCAATGAAGGAAGGGGCTCCGGTGTATAGAGAGGACCTCACTGTTTAACAAGTAATCATAGAAACGATGGAACCCACGATTTCTTTGTTTATTTCTATTTTATTTACTATGTTTTTTTGAATACCTAGTATCAATAGAAGTTATTATTAAGAGTTAAAATACTTATACTTAGAAAAAACAAAGAAAAAAAATAGTGGTTGGGAAGGTTATAGTAGCAAAAGCCATTGGAATTTATATTTTCCACATTGGAAGAATCCATGTTGTTCGTAATAGACTAGAAAGGATAAAAGAATAACTGAAAGAAAAAAATAAAATAGTTATTAATCAAAGTCTCATTTATCCAATGAACAGAATTAAACGAGGATCTATCGCGAGAAAACAGAGGACAAAATTTCGTTCCTTTACATCAGGCTTTCGCGGAGCTCATTCAAAACTTATTCGAATTATTTTCCAACAGAGAATAAAAGCTTTGGTTTCGTCTCAACGGGATAGAGATAAGAAAAAGAGGGACTTTCGCAGTTTGTTAATCAGTCGAATAAATGCAATAATAAGCCAGAATAAAGAAAAAATATACTATCGCTATAGTAATTTAATGTATAATCTGTACAAGAATCAATTTCTTCTTAATCGTAAAATAGTTGCACAAATAACTAGATTAAAGGGGAATTGTCTTTTTATGATTGCTAACGATATCATTCAAAAATAAAAATTCCCCGGAGACTTAACTCCGGGAAGGTGGTAGAATAAAATAGATTTGTATGATAAAATATAATTCGTATGAATTAGAAAAAGAAATAATCAACCACGCTCAAAAAACAAAAAAAAACTACCAATCCGCATAAACTTTGAGTTTAGATTCAATTAATTATTAAATTAATTGAAGTAACATAACTCTATTTTTTTTTAAGAATAGGAGGAGCAGCTCTAGTAATCGACTTGATTTTTTCATTTTTTTTTTTTTGCATTTTTAACAAAAGGTGACGAATTTACAAAAGGTAACAAAGATAAAATACGAGCTTGTTTTATAGCAATCGCAATTAATCGTTGTTGTTTTAAGGTTAATTTATTCACACATCTAGGTAAAATTTTTCCTTGTAGCGTGATAAATTCGAAAAGTAAACTCAAGTTTTTATAATCAATTCGATCCCCAGATTGGATTAGGGGCGAACTCATATGAATTGATTGCTTCGATTTAACAAACAGTCGCTTAGATTTCTCCATGGTTTGTTTATTCCTATACCGAAAATCCCGTTTGTTTTATAAAAAAAGGATTTGTTTTAGTTATATTCTTATTTTTTTTTTGTAATATATTTGGAAAATATATGCTATATAATGATCTATGTATATAATTTTATGTTATAGAATGTTATTTATATAATATAGATAAGATAATTTATCTGGTATCTATATAATTAATTTTTATGTATTTTTTCAATTTACCTCCTTAAGGGTGACACACAAGTAATCCATTTTCTCTATTTCTTGATCTATGCGTGAATCATATGTTTGCAACAAAAGGGACATAATTTTCTCAATTCTAATCGATTAGGCATATTATGTTGATTCTTTTGAGTAATATATCGAGAAATACCTCTAGATTCCTTATTAACACTCTTCTTATCACAACTAGTATATTCTAAAATAACAGTTATTCAGATATCTTTACCCTTAGCCATAAACCTCCTTTAGTTTTTTTATTCACTTACCTCTTCGATTTTAAGATTCGAAGGGAAGAAGAAAAAAGGAACGAAAAAAAAGAAGATAAGTTGATAATTCAAAATCAAATTATTAAATATTTTGTTCCAATTAATTTTATATAGTACAATAATAATTCACTACTACAATGCTTTCGAAATAGATTTCGAATTCAGAGTCTAGTATTTCAGTTTTTATTAAAATATCTTGTATGATATTATTACCCCTACCCTAACAATTCCATTTCTGGTCTTACTCTTAATAATTAAGAATAGCAATGGAATTGAAGTATTAATTCAATTCCATTGAAACGAAACGTGGGAAAAATTCCAAATTTCACTGAGGCCAAATCCACCTTTCTTAATTTCCTCTTTTTTTTTGTTGAACTTATTCTAGTATAATTCGGAAAAAAAAATGAACGAAGAGGGATTTAATCATAGATATTTTATTGGATCTCTAATCTTTATCACCCCTTCCCGTGCCAATAACTAGAATAAAAAAAAGGGAATGTCAATGCATTCGGGAATAAATGATTGATTTCTATCAAGAGACTTGCTAGAGCCGCGAACCATAAAGTACTTGCCACTGGTGCCACAGAGAGATATGTATTTAGATCTCGCATTTCAAATCCTCCTTCGTTTTTTCTTGTAATTTGTAATACATAATAACACAGAATTACATATAGGAATATGATCCAATGTTTTTTTTCTTCTTAATAAAACCACTTGGATTTCTCGGGGGAAGTCCGAATCCAATTTGAATTGTACAACAATGAATTAGATCTTTTTTTATAGAGTACTATTTTTATATTCTTATTTTATTTATTCAAATTGTTATCTTCTAATAACTATATTATTATATATTTTTTGAAATTATGAATTCTATGAAATATTAAAATAATATTTGAAATTATTCTATTTTTCATATATCAATTCTATTTTCTATATTATTTGTATATTCTTTGTTCTTGTTATTATACTTTTTCTATCTTATTATTTATAGGTTCTATATATTCTCTGTTTTTCATTAATTGAATATAAATATTCTATAAGAATATTTGATTCGACATCTTATTTCTACGATCGATATAAGAAAGTAAAAAAACAAACAAAATGGCAGGATATAGATAATGGAAAAATGTGGAAAATAAGACAAAAATTCTTTAGAATGACAATGGAAACTGATGTAAAGGGATGTAGCACAGCGTGGTAGCGCGTTTGCTTTGGGTACAAAATGTCACAGGTTCAAATACTGTCATCCCTATCCCTAATATCATATCAGCAGTAACAAGAGATCAATTTTGAGCAATTGAAATTGGACATACATACTCAATATGAATAGTTCTCCATATTTAGTTTGTATGCATGCATGCAATATATATTGCCATCACATCAAATTATTTAGGAAAAGAAAGCTCTCTTAGTTCAGTTCGGTAGAACACGGGTCTCCAAAACCCGATGTCGTAGGTACAAATCCTACAGAGCATGATACCATTCTTCTGAGAATGAGACTAAAATAATGGGATAACAGTCTAAGTCTAATCAAAAGTGTTAATTTGATCTCCTGTGAATTAGGATTCAAACAAAAAAATAGGAAGTCAATAAACAAAAGAGACAACACTAAATCAAATATCCAACTGATCGCCACGTCGGTATTGTAAATAGGTCGTTACAAATAATCCAGCCAAAGTAATAGGAATTAGACCTAACACGATTCCAAATAGAAAAACTTCAATCATTTGAGTTTGGTTGAAAGTAAAAAAGGTGGGGGTAATATCGATCCTTAAATATGAATTTATATTGACCATGAATCTCAATGATCAAGAATTGGAAATATGATAAGGAACTATAGAATATCTATAATTTCCAAATTTATCTCAAAATTGCAAATCAAATAAGTCGTATCTTATTCAGACTGATAAAAATACCTGCGGTTATAGTTAAAACCGCTAGTAGAAAACCGAAATAACTGGTTAGAGTGGACATAAGGAAACTAGATGAAATATATTCTTTTTATACGTATGTTTATAAAGCACTTTCCTAAGTTTCCATTTTTTTAAAGATAAAAATAGGAAAAGAAGCAAAAAATACCACTTGAAAGATACAATGGAAAAGAATTGATTCATGAATCAATTATTACGGACAAACAAAAAGAAAAATATAGTTACATAGGTAAAAAATCAATTCATCATCTGTGACATCTACCCAAATTGTGATTCCAAATCAACAGATTTCTTGATCAACTCATGACATGAGTTGAGTAAACTAATCGAAGGAAAATTGTTTTATTTATTTATATAATTATATATAATATAACGTATATATATAATATAAATAATATAAAGTCCATATATATAGTCTTAAACTTTGAGGAATTTTTGATTCAGTACATCGAAACAAACAACCAGGAAAAAAAGAAATTTTATTTTGTAGTACTCGATCTCGTCACTTATTGTGAAATTTCGTTGCTGTGTTAGAAGAAGGATAGCTATACTGATTTGGTATACTAGAACGAGACCCTTGGTACACGATTGACGATCGTAACAAAGATTGAAAATTTCAGTAAATTTCTACTTACTGATCTGATCTTTTATGGAATCGATACCCCTTTGACTGTATAAGAATATGTGGAGCTCGACATGTCTGGAAGCACAGGAGAATGTTCTTTTGCTGATATTATTACCAGTATTCGATACTGGATTATTCATAGCATTATTATACCCTCCCTATTCATTGCGGATTGGTTATTTGTCAGCACGGGTTTAGCTTACGATGTATTTGGAAGCCCCCGTCCAAGCGAGTATTTTACAGAAAGCCGACAAGGAATTCCTTTAATAACCGTCCGTTTTGATTATTTGGAACAACTCGATGAATTTAGTAGATCTTTTTAGGAGGCTCCAATGACCATAGATAGGACCTATCCCATTTTTACAGTACGATGGTTGGCTGTTCACGGACTAGCGGTACCTACCGTTTCTTTTTTGGGATCAATATCAGCAATGCAGTTCATCCAACAATAAACCTAATCCGAATTATAGAGCTACGACAAAATCAAACCCAAATGAACAAAATGTTGAATTGAATCGTACCAGTCTATACTGGGGTTTATTACTCATTCTTGTACTTGCTGTTTTATTTTCAAATTATTTTTTCAATTAATTGAATTCAATTAATTGAAGAAAAGAGAATAGTATTTATATATTAGGAATTCTCTTATCCCATTCGGAAGGATATCATTTCATAATCATCTATGACTGTTCAGGTCTCTAGTATGACTGACTACTTGATCAAATGTGGAGGAAAGTGGGATAAATGGTCGATACTACTGGAAGAATTCCTCTCTGGATAATAGGTACTATAGCTGGTATTGTTGTTATCAGTTTAATTGGTATTTTCTTTTATGGTTCATATTCCGGATTGGGATCATCCCTGTAATAATCAGATGAATTTAGTTTTCGAAATGAAAGCATAAGAACTCAACGGGGATCCACTCTTTCTTTGATGAATTCGAAGGGGTCCCGTTGAGTTCTTCATAATCATAATATTTTTGTCAGTGAGTCAATAGATAACTTTATTGTATGTTTCAAAAAATTCCATTTCCTTTTTTTAGGATCTTATGTGTAAGAATAGGGAACTATATACTATATTTAATACTCTATTAAACATAAAAAAGATTTTGTAGAACCAAACCTTTTTGATACTAACAGAATCTTACTAGAAATATATTTCTAATATAGACTCATGATTAAATTCTTTTTTTAAGTGAATTAAGAAAGTTGTATTTGCTGAATTCAATTCCCGGTCTTTTTTGTTTGTCCATTCCTTAACTACGTATCGATTTCCACATAAACAAGAAGGAATTGGACTCTAGGAAAAGACAAATTATCCATCCTAGAATCCTGTTTTCCCTTTTTCTACTTTACTTAATATTATCTACCTACCTATTTTTTTAGGATTAGTATCGAGTCGAATTTAATTCTATTACAACATAAATTCTAATATTTCTATTCTAGGACATGAAAATGTGAAAACAGCGACATAATCATATGGTTCGAATTAATTGTGCAGTTGAAAAAAAAACCAAGAACCAAAGGTCTTTACACAAAATTTATCAACAAAAATGGAGTTCTTTTTACCAGCTTAATATGTTGATAAATTGACATTCCTAAAAATTCATTTCAGACAATTGCACCTTCTCAAATTGTTTCTTTTTAAGAACCAAAAAAATTTGTGCCAAAATAATAGATGCCAAGAAGAGCAAGAGACCTTGGACACGTAACGGATCTTGAAGCACTATTTCTGCATCCCCCTGACCAAATCCACCCACATTAGGATTACTCGTTAATGGTTGATCAAGTTTGATAGAGTCACCCTCTGAAACAAGAAGTTATGGTCCTGGCGGTATAATATCAATCACTTCACGTCCATCTGATGCATCTACTATCGTTATTTCGTATCCACCTTTTTCTTTTCGTATTATTTTGTTTACTACACCCGTTGCTGTAGCATTATAAACATTATTATTACTCTTGCTTTCGTCGGGATAAATCTGACCCTTCCCCTGTTCCCGCCTACGTATATAGGATATTTTAATAAGTAAACATCTCTCTTAGTAGCGGGATTTGGAGAAAGAATAGGACTATATTTTTTCCAGGAACGGGGCCTATCACACGAATATATTTTTTTGTGGGACGATAGCTTTGAAAAGACAAATTACCTATCTTTTCTTTAATCTAGGGCGAAAGACGATCATGAGGGGCCAATTGAAAACCCTATGGTAAAATAAGAACATCTCCCACATTCAAAGCCCCCTTTTTACCATTAGCAAGAACTTGTTTCACTTGCATATCATAAGGAATTCGAACAATTGCTTCAAATACTGTATCGGGAAGTATCGCTTGTGGAACCTCAATATCTACGGGCTTATTAGCTAAATGGCAATTAGCACATACAATCCGGCTGGTAGCTTCTCGAGGATTTTCATAACCTTGTTGGGCAAAAATAGGATATGCATTTGAAATGGGTGCTCGAGTTATTATATATATCATGAGCAATACAGAAATGGATCGGGTAATCTCTTTCTTTATCCAAGAAAAAACATTTCTAGTTTGCATGGTCCAATCATTGATCCTGAAAATTTCTACAATAAGATTAGGTAGGTTACTGGAACAGTTCCCTATCCATGATTATGCTATTTACTCCAATTATTTTCCTATAATATAGGAAGAATACGAGTAAAATGAAAACGAATAAGTTCAATTTAAAATGTTTATCTTTTCTATACAAAAAACAAATTTTAGAATTGGATCAGTAGGTCGTTTTTTCATTCCTTCATTGAATGATAAATGACTACAAGCGACGGAGATACACGATTTAAATAACGGAAAATAGAGTATTTAAAAATAGTATCTAAAATGACTGGAAAAATTGAAACAAGACAAGATAGAATCTGATCATTCAGAGCAAATCCAAAATCTTTATAGACAAACCCAATCATTAGTTCCCAACCCTGAGTCGAATGGAATCCTATACAAAAATCAGTTAATAAAAGAATAGAAAAAGCTTTTATTGTGTCACTTAAGTTATATAGAAATTCTTGAACCCAAGAGTTAAGAATAATGAGTTCTTGATTACCTCGAATAGAATAACCACTTAGAATAAGGAAACAAATTATATTTGTACAGAAATGCAAAATCGTATGGATACGATCTAGGTTGTTCGTCTCAATCAATTGGATGGTCTCTTTGTAGATTTCGATACGAACGTTTTGTAAACGTGTTTCTGGGTATTCCTTTAGCATTTCATCCAAGAGGAACAGTTCCTCGAACTCTAGAAATTTCTTTAAAATAATTTTTTCTTGAATAGTATTCAAGACAATTTCAGATTCTTTCATATTCCACCAATTAGTAATCCAAGATTCCAGACTTTTCTGAAATGTAAAAGAGATGCACCAGGGCAAAAAGACTATAGATGTAAGACATAGAAGGGGAATGCATGCTTTCTTTTTTGCCATTTTTCGTCTTTAATGAACTCAGTTTCATCTCATTTTTCAACTATATATAATAATAATCTTTCTATCAAGCATAAGTTCTATTACAAGTAAATACAAGTAATAGAGCTTAGCCTAGAATATATCAATTTATAATTTTTTCATAGAAATTGAGAAGCTATTCTTTTTATTTGTAATTCGGAGGTTAGTTTCTTTTTCCTTCAATTTGAAAAAAGAATCCAAAATAATACAGAAATCAAATAAGAAAATGAAATAAGCCATTGCCAATTTGAATGAAGAAGAAAAAAAGTGTTTCAAAAGCTATGAGTTAAAAATGAAATTGTTTGGATACAGCGATTTCCATTGGTATACTCAAGAATATGGAACGATTTCCATTGGTACACTCAAGAATCTGGACAAGTCCCAAGCTTTTTGTATAACGTTGCATGGAGTCCTATCATCAACAGGAGTCAAGGGAATGGTCCCCTGTACTCTGGTTTGCATATAAAGGACACCACTACTAGGTTCTGGGTTAGCTTGTAGTATGAGGGACTGAATATCTTCCATACGAACTCGGAGAAAAATACGACGATATGTTCCAGGAAATCCGTAATGAAAAAAACATACCATTCAATTTTTTTTATCGAAAAAATTATAGCCACTCCCCACATTCCAAAAAATTAGAAGCCACCAATGTAAACTTAGAAAGAGACCCGCAATTCCATAGAAAGTCAGTGTGACTCCTTGTGTAAAAAAAGGAATGACAAATTCGAACGAAATGAAAGAGAAAAAATCCCTCCCATAATAATTGGAAACTGAAATATATAAAACTCCTAATGAACCTAAAAGAGTGAAAGACGCCCAGAATAAATTGATAATTTTTCGGGACCCCGGTAGAATGTCAAGCCATGCGTCTTGTGAACGACAACCAAGTTTTTCTGACCCTCAACTAATGAATTTTGGAACATGAACCAATAAAGCAGACATTACAATTAATACAAGGCCCACTAAAAACACATAAACGTTTATCATAAAATGGGTGCCTCAATTTTATATTTGTACCTGTTCTTTTTTCTTGATTGTTAGATTAATATTTATGTTGTTATATGAAAACCTCCTTATCTTATTAAGGCTTATATAATATTAGTACTTTTCTTTTTTTTATTGAAAGCAATAGTTATTCAAAAATGGAACAAAAGAACAAATCCAAACTAAAAAATTTAACCCTATTTTCAAAAATATATGAAACTTGTGGTATCTAAAAAATCTTGTTTTTTTGAACATGAAGAAATAAAGAAGCCATTACAACTGCCGGAAATACTAGGCCTACTAAAGGAACAAAAAGGGATGGTAAGTTTATCATAAAATGAGGTACCTCAATTTCATATTTGTACCTGTTCTTTTTTGTTGATTGTTAGATTAATATTTGGATTCTTCTTATATTGGAATAAAGAAAGTCTATAATCACTAGAATTCATATAGACTTATACTAAGTCTATTTTTTTAATTCTACTATGTAGATCTAAATAAATAGATATGAATATATATATATATATATATATATATATATATATATATATATATATATATATATATATATATATATATATATATATATATATATATATATATATATATATATATATATATATATATATATATATATATATATATATATATATATATATGGAGTATAAAAGAGAATAAACCCATAAGAAAAAAATGGAATAAGATTTCTTTATGATATTCATTTTATGATATTAATGAAAAGTTAAAAATTGAAAAACATAAATAAAATGATAGTCTGCATTAGTTTTCATTTTCAATCCAAGGAAAGCAACCATGGAATTCAAATAACTCACTTAAAAAGTCCTTTAAAGAATCCTGTGATACGATTGAATCCAATAAGCCTTTTTCGAAAAAAACTTCAGCCGATTGGGAACCTTCAGGCACTTCCTTATTCAATGTTTGTTCAATTACTCTTTTACCCGCAAATGCAAGGTAAGCATTTGGTTCAGCAATAATGATATCCCCTAACATCCCAAAACTAGATGTTACCCCACCAGTAGTAGGCGATGTATGTATCACTACATAGAGTAACTTTTGATTGATTTGATAATTATATAAAGCAGAAGATATTTTAGCCATTTGCATTAAGCTCAAACTTCCTTCTTGCATATGTGCTCCTCCGAACGCATATACTATAATAAGAGGTAAAAGTTTATTGGTAGCATATTCGATCAACCGAGTTATTTTCTCACCCACTACGGATCCCATACTACCCCCCAGAAACTGAAAATCCATAATACCTATTGCTACAGGAATACCATTTAGTTGACCTGTGCCTGTTTGAATCGCCTCCAGTAATCCTGTACTTTCTTGATAAAAATCAAGACGATCTATATAAGGTTCGTCTTCCATAGAAGAGTCGTATTCGTCTTCTGGAGAAGATTCGTATTCGTCTTCCGTAGAAGGTTCGTCTTTCGGAGAAGATTCGTCTTCCGTATAAGGTTTGTCTTCCGTCGAAGGTTCGTTAGAAGGTTTGTCTTCCGTAGAAGGTTCGTTAGAAGGTTTGTCTTCTATAAAAGATTCGTATTCGTCTTTCGTAGAAGATTCGTATTCGTCTTCCGTAGAAGGTTTGTCTTCCGTATAAGGTTTGTCCCATTCAATGGGATCCAAAGAAAACATGTCTTCATCCATAGGATTCCAAGTACCTGGATCAATCGAAAGTTCGATTCTATCTGAGCTACTCATTTTCAAATGGTCTCCACAGTGTTCGCAAATATTCATTTTGGATTTAAAAAATTTCTTATAATTTAATCCAAAGCAACTTTCGCATTGAACCCATAAATGCTTAAACTGTTGAGTATAAGAAGTATCTTTTGGATCATCAGGCTATTGTATTGGAGTAAATTTACTATTATTTGTATCATTAGAATATTCTATTGGAGTAAAATCACTATCATTTGTATCATTAGAATTTTCTATTTGATACAAATCACTATCATTTGTATCATTAGAATTTTCTATTTGATACAAATCACTATCATTTGTATCATTAGAATTTTCTATTTGATACAAATCACTATCATTTGTATCATCGGAAATGTAACTATTCAAGTCACTGATATTGGCATTGTAGTTGTCACTATCATCTAAAATGTAACTAGCAATATAGATTTGATAACGAAGATAACTCTCAATCCAACTATTAATGTTCTTAATCCAATTACATTGAATATCATCTATGTAATTAGGATCATTACTCTTAGAGACATTTGTCAAATAGCTATAATTTTGATAACTAGCAAAAAAACTTTCTGGTTCATTAAAAAAAGAATGATTATTGTCAATCTCCAAAATTTGATTTTCAATAGAAAAATCTATGGAATAACTATTCCTATTACTATCCGTAACTAAAAAAGTTTTATCAGATAGGAAATTCTGTATGTTGCTGACATCTACTAAATAATCACCATGGCTGTAACTATCATTTTCACTATTGTTCTTCCAACTATGAATATCATTATCTATATCAGTTAAAATAGATGGGTCATCAGTTAAAATAGATGGGTCTTCATTTACACCGTTATTTTCAATATGATAAAAACTATCTATTGATTTACTTAAACCACACCTATATTCTAAATCCCTATTAAACAACATTGAATTGAACCACTTTCTTTCCATAAATCTGTTTTCCTCTATTTCATGAAAATACAATAGATGAATAGTCATTCGATGATCATTTTTTATCGACTTAAGTATAGAAATAGAATTGCTAGGATTAATAACTTATAATAATAATGAGGGAAGAAGTATTGAAAAAATTTATCATTTATATTTGAATATCAAATCAATAACTATTTCTAATATAAAACTAAATGAATAGAATAAAAACAAAGAAGTAAAAAGGCTCATTTGGTCTACGGTATTTATGCACCAAATTAGTTTATTTCTTGACTTTTTCCTAATATGAGGTAGGTTGAGCACCGGATTTTGGAATAACAGGAATATTAGAATGGGTTATTTAGTGGATAAAACAAGGACTTTCCGAAGATAACCTCCCTCTCTTTGGGATCGAACATGAATTTCAACGATTCGATAAATGGATCGTTCAAATTCATATAGATGAACAATATATCCCCTAGAAATGTATCATAAGTTTTTTCTTCGTATGGCTCAATTCAAAATTATGTCTATAATTATGATGTAAAATAGATCACTCAAATCCAAAAATCGAGGATCCCTATTTCTAGATACTAGAAACTAGATAGTATAAAGAAAATAGGGCATGTAAGAATCCGCAGCTAATATAGTCACGTTTTTCAAATCCCACGCTGCTTTTTACTACATCGTTTCAAACGAGGTTTTACCATAACATTATTTTTTAGTTTCAATCTGGTATGTAATTGATTCCATTTTGAAATCGTGCATAGTCATTGACTTAATCAATAGATAATAATATATACTTTTCACTTCTAGGTTTTAGGTTTTCTGACTATACAATTTTATTTCTAAAGTCAAGAAGTAGAAATTAAGTCAATATTCTATTTTCATGGTTTGTAAATTAAATCTAAAAAATAAATTTCTAAAAAAAAAAGGAATCTTTATTCAGATATACAATTTGTATTGAAATAGGTATATATCTTGAATAGATATGATCTTGGACGGAAGGATTTGAACCTCCGAATAACGAGACCAAAACCTGCTGCCTTACCGCTTGGCCATGCCCCATTTTGATTCGACATTAATAAATAGTATTATGAGTTGTTCGTCAATTACACTTCGAAATTGATTCTATAGAATAAATTGTTGCTAGAATTTTGATATGTATCGATATCGAATTAAACGAAATTTATTGATCATTCCATAGAATTCAATTAAGATATTGTTTGAACTTATTCAGTTCAAATAAAAAAAAGTGGGGGTCTGATTTTAGTCGATTCATCTTTTTTTCTCTTCGTTTTATTACTGATTTAATAATCTTCATATCTATAAATAGGAATTCAATATTTTATATTCTATCCTTTTTGATTTTCAAATTATTCATTTTCTATTCTATATATTATCTATTCTATATAAATAATATCAAAAAATTTTGATTTTATATTTCATTGTTAATATAAAAGTATAATACAAAAATGGATAATAATAATAATAAATTATATAATAAATCATATCATATATAGAATAAATCATAACATATATAAAATAAATTATCTATATAATAATAAAAAAATACAATCAAAATTAGAATTAAAAACAAAAGAAAAAAGACAATTCCTTTTCTTAAAGAAAATCATTTTTGTTATGCTTAATATCTTTAGCTCGGTCTATATTTGTATTCACTCTGCCCTTTATTCAAGTAGTTTTTTCTTGGGGAAATTACCAGAAGCTTACGCTTTTTTGAATCCAATTGTAGATTTTATGCCAGTAATACCCTTACTCTTTTATCTCTTAGCTTTTGTTTGGCAAGCTGCTGTAAGTTTTTGATAAGATCTTTAATTTGAATAATGTCCGAAAAAAAGTCAGAATTTATTAGAAAACTCAAATTTTAACATTTTTAAAAATAAGATAAGTCTTACTGTGTGAATCCGTGATTATAAATCTTGAAATTGTTGGATAGACAATAAAAATATGGATCATCTCATTATTTCCTTTTTTTTCCTTTCAAAAATAAAAATTACATTATTCTATTATTTGATTTGAGTCTACCACCAATACGTGGATCTTGTGGATATGAAAGAAAATTGAATTGTTGATAATGGTAAAACAAAGGCTCAACTCTTACTACAAATCAATTTTTTTAGTTTTTTTGAAATAACTTCATTTCTTATAAACTGAGTATCAAAGGAAACATAATATGAAATACAAGAGAATCTATTCTCTTTCTCTGTCGTTTTTTTAATTATCTTGGAGATTTTGTAATGCTTACTCTAAAATTATTTGTTTACACAATAGTGATATTCTTTGTTTCTCTTTTCATCTTCGGATTCCTATGTAATGATCCAGGACGTAATCTTGGACGTGAAGAATAAGAAATTCTTTTTTCTTTTCCGTACTTATGCTGGATTTTTAAATATTTTTCGTTTTTCTATCTATTTTACATCTTTAACTAGTAAAAAATGAAACAAACAGGGAATAAAAAAAAAGAAATTCCAGAAGTTCAAAAGAAAAAAATTCCAAATCATCAATAAATGGAAAGAGAGGAATTCGAACCCTCGGTACAAAAATTCATACAGCGGATTAACAATCCGACACTTTAGTCCACTCAGCCATCTCTCCCCAATTCAAAAAATTGAATTATTATGCTTATGATACCATGGATAAACAAAAAGAACAAAAAGTAGGGCTCAAAAAAGCCTTCTATATATCTTATTTGATATTGATCGTCATTTGATATATCTTATCTATCTATCTTTTTTCTATTTGATTATCATTTTATTTAATTACTATTTATAATTCTATATTAACTCATAAATATTAGTTATATTTTCTTATACCTATAATAAAGTTATATTATATATATACGCAATATAAAATTTTTTCTTTTCTTTTTTGTTTTTAGTTTGTTTTTTTATCCAACCAGAGTCCAGCTAGGTACTGGCACGACTCTTTTTTCCCATGAATCACAGTGATTTATTTTTCTGTATCAGATTTGAAAGAAACTTGTAATTAAGAAAAATATTTTAATACGATCAAACAAAAATAAAAATAACTTTTTGATCGTATATCATACGAATTAATCAGTTAACATATCTAAAAAAAGAAATAGAACTATGAATTCTTGTCCAATGCATTTTTGTCTTATGAATTTCGTTTAGTAATTTTGTCGAGATCTATCTGTCAAAATACCTTCCACAAAATCCAAAAATGAGATTCGCCCCCTTTTCTAAATTTCATTAGGGGGCCCTTTACGAAACATGTGAACACTGTATTTATCATAAAATTCTGCACCTATTTCATAATTAGGACTGATTCCCCTTCCTGTATTGATATTGACAAAAGATCTTTTTATATACAATAATAGTATTGTAGCGGGTATAATTTAGTGGTAAAAGTGCGATTCGTTCTATCGACCCCTTAATAGTAATAGTTAAGGGGTCCCTTCCGTGATTCATATCACGATCAAAAACTTTATTTCTTACTTAAAGGTATTTAATCCTTTATACCTCTCAAGGAGCAATTCGAGGAATAATATACATTATCATAATTTGTATACAATTTAGAATTGATTCTAAAATTATGAAACATAAGTTTTTGCAATTGGATCCAGAATCCCAATTTTTGAATATAAGTAAAGGATCCAGGGAGAAAGATATATAAAATTCGTTTCCAATCGTAACTAAATCTTCCAATTTTTTTCTTATTTGTTTTGTATAGGAGAGATTGAAGCAAAATAGCTATGAAATGATTTTTTTAGTTTACTAGAAACATCAACATATTTTTTTAGCTCGACGGAAATTTTATTCTTTTCCTAAAGATTCTCTCAAATAGAAATAGAGAACGAAGTAACTAGAAAAAAAGAGATTGTTCGAATACTCCTTTTCTATAGGGTTCATCTAAAAAGCAACGTTAATTGTATTCATACCGAAAGGCTGACATAGATGTTATGGATTATTTTTTTCATGTATTCCATCTATCTCTTAAATTATTCTGTAAAGGAGCTGAATGAAACAAAAGTTTCACGTTTAGTTTTGAATTAGAGACGTTCATTCATAAACGTCGACTATAACCCTTAGCCTTCCAAGCTAACGATGCGTGTTCGATTCCCGCTACCCGCTTATATTATATTTTTTATTTAGTAAATTTCTTCATTTAGTTTTAGTATATAATTCTTTTTTCTTTCCCTTTTCACGAAATTTTCGTGAAAAGGGAAAGAAGAAAAGAAAAGCGTCCATTTTCTAATGGATAGGACAGAGGTCTTCTAAATCTTTGGTATAGGTTCGAATCCTATTGGACGCAAAGTGATTACATATTGAATTGATTGAAATTGCATATATATTAATTGAATTCATATATTTCTAAAAATATATTGTGAATTTATTATCTTTATGATTCTTTTTTTTAAGAGACTAATGATAGAAATTTTTTAACGGTATGAAAATTTTAATCAATTTTTTTCTACTTGTTCCTGAAGTAAAAAGAGTTCCATCTGTTCCTGAATAGCTTCCTTCAAAATGGCTTATGCTTCCCCAGTGAATGTCTTGGTAGAAGATATGATTTCGTTGAATTTAGGTTTATTCGTTTTTAAATAAGCCCGTAACTCAAGGAGAAATTTCCTTACCTGTTCAATTTCTAATGAATCAAGATAACCGTTCGTTCCAGTATAAATAGTTATTATCTGTTCTTCCACAGTAAGAGGAGCTGATTGGGATTGTTTAAGCAACTCGCGCAATCGTTGACCTCTTGCCAATTGATTTTGCGTGGCTTTATCGAGATCTGAAGAGAATTGTGCAAAAGCTTCTAATTCTGCGAATTGTGCCAATTCCAATTTTAATTTACCAGTTACTTGTTTCATGGCTTTTATTTGAGCCGCCGATCCAACTCTGGAAACAGAAATACCCATATTAATTGCGGGTCTGATCCCAGCATTGAATAAATCGGCAGATAAGAATATTTGGCCGTCTATAATAGAAATTACATTAGTAGGAATATAAGCTGAAACATCTCCTGATTGGGTCTCAACTATTGGTAAAGCAGTCATACTTTCTTCAACTAACTGAGAACTTAATTTAGCGACTCTTTCCAAAAGACGCGAATGTAAATAAAAAGCATCTCCGGGATAAGCTTCGCGACCTGGTGGTCTTCATAATAGAAGAGACATTTGGCGAAAAGCCCGTGCTTGTTTGGAGGGATCATCATAAATGATTAAAGTGTAGCATTCACGGGACATAAAATATTCAGCCAGAGCTGCTCCTGTATAAGGCGCGAGGTATTGTAATGTAGCTGGGGAATTTGCTGTTTCAGCCACTATAATAGTGTATTCCATTGCTCCTCTTTCTTGTAAAGAAGTTACGACTTGAGCCACAAAAGATGCTTTTTGACCAATAGCTACATAAACACATACTACATTTTGTCCCTGTTAATTGAGAATCGTATTTGTAGCTACTGCTGTTTTACCAGTTTGTCTGTCCCCAATAATCAATTCTCGCTGGCCACGCCCTATAGGGATCATATAATCAATAGCAATAAGTCCCGTTTGAAGGGGCTCATATACGGACCATCTGGAAATAATACCGGGAGCGGGAGATTCAATTAACCGAGATTCTGAAGCTGGAATTTCTCCTCGACCGTCAATAGGTTTAGCTAGGGCATTTACAACACGACCCAAATAACCCTCACTTACCGTTATCTGAGCAATTATTCCTGTTGCTTTTACGGAACTTCCCTCTTATATCATCAAACCATCACCCATTAATACAACACCAACATTTTTTTATTCCAAATTCAAAGCAATGCCTACTGTACTTTCTTCAAATTCTACTAATTCACCCGCCATTACTTCATCAAGACCATAAATACGAGCAATGCCATCACCTACTTGAAGTATGGTACCTGTATTTACAATTTTTACTTCGGTATTATATTGCTCAATACGTTCACGGATAATTTTACTAATTTCATCTGCACGAATGGTTACCATGAATATTTCTGAATTTGATTCTTTTTCGAAGAAAAACAAAAAGAAGGCTTGCCTGCCTATACTCTCAATTATAGTAGAACAACTAATCAGTTATTTTTTTCTTTCATCGCCCCAAACATCCCAGTATTAACACTGATCGTACGTAAATGTAACTCGTTGTTTAAGTAACTATTCAAAGTTCCAAGAGCTCCTTGTAATGCTTGTTGTAAAACCCTTTGTTGCACTTGATTAATTGCCCTTTGTTGTTCAAAATGAATGGTTTCATTTTTGTAATTTTCGAATTGTTCCAAAGTACCCTCTTGAAGTTGGATTGGTTCAACCTGCCCTATAAATAGTAACCGGGTTCTAAAAGGGGTCTCAATATCACTAATCTTTCCCCCAGTTTCATTTAATAGGCGATGAACTCGCAACCAAACAAAACTCAAGATTCAAACCTCAATGAGTGTAGCATCGAGTATCTGTCGACCTTGGGCATACACCAAATCCGTCCATCTCGCTACGTCCTATTGGCCAAGTTGGGCAATTAAAGGTTCTAAGGTCAGTTGATGCTTCACAACACCATGCGGCGGCCCCGTACGCTCCCTGATTGACTCAAGGGTTACTGGTACCAACCAAAGTGCCATATCAACGTAGCTACTACTTCAATCGTGCCGGTATACCCCAACATAGTTCCCTCACAGTTTATTGCTACTTACCTAAAAGGTGTTCCCCAGATCCGGGTGTAGGGTCTATAGTAACCCTGAACAAACCCTCAAAAATAAAGCAATTAAGACAATCAAGAGAAGCAATTTTAAAATGATCTAAATCCTAAGGTATACCCCACTTTATAGAATTCCCCAGCAGAGTCGCCAGTTCTGTGATACGGTGGCAGAACCGAATGTTAATACTGGTTTGCATTTTGCATTTTTTGTTTGCAAAATGTCGCGGTAAGCAAGAGTCGCCACCGACTTTTATTTCATCCAATCATGGAAAAGGGAAAAGAACAGAAAAAACCTTTTTTCGAGATATTCTGAGTACGGGGGGTAGATTATAGAAAGGGAAGGTGTTAGTACCCTTTCTAGCCGTAGTTATCTACGGGCTCTTATGTACTTGCTCTTTTTGAAATTGCTTGTGTGTGCTTGTCTTTGAAAAGTTTTGTTTTACTTCGTTTTAACCCTTGTTTCTGTCCTCAAGAGTGTTACAAAGTTGTTTTTGAAAACTTTGAAAAGTGTTGGTGTGAAAAGTTTCTATTGAGCAAGTACTTAAGTTTCTACCTACTCGAAAAAAGATTGTTTGTTCTCGTTTCCTTTAAACAGCGCTATCCTACTATTAAGGAGTAGGTAGCACCGTCGTTGGAGTTGTAAGGGACATTCGAAAGGGACAAGTACAATCACCAAAGCAATAGTTAGAAAACTTTAGTAATAACCCTAGAGTCTTAAGATCTTTCCGAGGCAACATTTCCGAGGCAAAATTTCCGAGGCAACATTCGATTGGGACAATTTGATCTCTTTAGACTGGAGGGCAACCACTAAAATCTCCTATGCTTAATGATTGTTTACCGAAGGCAACCGAAGTGAGGTAAACCCTAGGAGTGAATATATGCATATGATTTGTTTCAGTTATTTAATCTTTGCACATTAGGTGATCTACCGTTTTAATTTTCCGGACATTCTTGCCATACAATCCTATTAGCCATGCATCTAGACAGTTAAAGATTACGGAAATTAAAAGTGCGAGGAAGTAAAACCTAGCTATTATAAGGCTTCGGGGAGGGGGATTAATTACATAACCAAAAATCGGGGATTTAAAGCAAGAAATAAAACCCTAATTTAACTATTACAAACCCTGAACAGTTACAAAATAATGGAAAAAAATAATTAACAAGCGCGCGGTAAATTAAATACGAGGACAGTAATTAATAACTTAAAACCCTAATTGAGAGAAAGCAATTTTTGTGGATTTTTATTTGAGAAAACAATTAAATCACAAATTAATTAAACCTAATTTCTAATTGTTTTTAATTATGAAAGAAGTTAATTAACCTAATTCACTAATTAAATTAAAAAAGTATTTTATGAGAAAAATAATTTTTGTGTATTTTTTTGAGAAAGATTAATTAAATTATGTACAAATGAAATCCTTAGTCTAATTTTTTTTAAATTATGAAAGAAATTAAAATTGCCCTAAATTAATTAAACTAATTAATTCAAAAAAAATATTTATTAAGAAAATAAATCTTTTGTGATTTTTGATTTGTTAATTTAATAAAATAATTTTTGTATTGATTAAAAAAACAAAATAATTAAAGAAAAGAAATTAAAGAGAAATAGTAAAAATAACCAAATGGGCCTGCTGTTAGCAAATCAGGGGGGTGTGGAACTGAAATTCTTTGGCCCATGAAGCTCCAGGCCCGGTCAACTTTAGGATCTGGTGTAACATTGACCTGGAGGAGTACCATGAACCTTCATTGGAGAAGCATGAGATCTGGCCAGTAGTGCATCTAATGGATAGACGTTGAGTGTGTATGGAAGGCATGCGAGGGAGCATTGCATTGGATTGGCCTGAAATTATTAGGAAAATAATAAAATGCACACGCCTGGGATCGAACCCAGGACATTTGCATCAAAGGCGTGTCTCCCAACCATCTGCGATGCGTTGTTAACTTGTTAACATAATAAATACAAAACATAATATATAGAAAAATAAAAGAAGCTGCTTCCAAACGCGCGAAATTCAAACGGGCGAATGGTTGGCTGACACGCATTGTGTTCTTCCCTTTCTCTGTCGCCTTAGGCCTGTAACTTTTACCTACGGACATTTTTTTGTAGGTATAACCATGTTACATTAAAAAATATCACAAACATAATATAAATTCCAATGGAAACCATGGATCAACTGGGTGTGAAGCCCTGACCACCATGGTATCCATCATTAGGCTTAATTTTGCTTAAATCACAAAACCCCAAATTGGAGCACGAAACCCTAGCAATGGCAAAAGCTTATTCCTGCACTGTAACTTAAATCAAATTATCCAGAAACATTGAAAACATGATGATGAACACAAATATATGGGAAAAATACATGTATAATGCGTAAATCATAGAAATCGAATTTGAGTTCTTAGTGCAAACCGTGATGCTCTTGGGGACGATTTCTGGATGCTTTAAGGCTTGCAAATGATGCTGTTAGCTTCCTGGGATGTCCAGGAATCGATTGCTGGGCTTGAAACTCCTTGAGGATGGCTCTAAGATGGATTTTGATCTCCCACTTTTGTCCAAATTTTTGAGTTTCTTTCTTGCTGTTTCACGCCTCCAATCCTTGTGTTTTGATTTGGAATTGTTCAATACATATAAGAGAATGAATTAGGTCAATAAAATTGCATCATATCTTGAGAAATAATGAAAATTGGATTTTGTTTGCTTCATGTATGATATCTTTCTAAAACAAGCTTCAATCAAATCTTTTTCAATCCAAATCCACTTTGCATGAATTGGCTGTCATGTTAGCTGTATATGGACTCAAAATGTGCACAAAAATCCCAAGATTTGATTTGTTTTCATTATTTTACCATTTAATTTGATTTATTTTGATTTAAATGAATAAAAAAAAATCAAAATAAATGATAAAAATAATCAAAAAAGAGGTGACTGAGCTCAGGGGTCGTGGGTCCTATTAGAAACATGTTTCAAGCAAGAAAACATGGGCCCCTTTGGAAAAATTGCAAATTTGATCAATGTTGACTTTTGATAATTTTCCAAAAATTGCCAACTTTGACAATGCACAACTCTCTCAATTTTGACCCTAGGAGGATGTTATTGGACTTTTTAGAAAGCTTAGGATGTCCCCTAAGCAACACTTTTGGTCTTATCTCAATTGAGTCTTCCATGTTCATGTATGAAGCTTTGACCCAAAAGGTGTTTTTGTTGACTTTTCAAAATGACCTATAATGTCAAAATTCATATCTTTTTGTGAGTGCATATTTTGAACTTGTGAGAGGAAGATGACTTGTAGGGAATTGTATCCTCGTAAAAATGAGATTTGGATGGAAAATTTATGATAAAGTATGAAGAAGTTATGCCTGG